AAAAAAAAAAAAAAAAAAAAAAAAAAAAAAAATAGTATTTTTAATTATAATACATATGAATGTTTGTAGGTTTTAGGTAAGTATATTTAGTTTATAATTTATACTTGAAATTATTAAGCTGATGATTTTTTAAACAAAGGATAAATATAGGTGCTTATAATGGTTTTACATACAATATAATATATAATAGGTAAGTACTTATTGCTTAGTCCTGTACTTATTATACTCAGATATTTTTAGAAAATTATAATATGTTTATTGTTTATATATTAATTATAAATAATTGTCACTTTTAAATCATCAATTTTCTGATTGTTATTTTCATTTTATTCCTCATATTTCAACCTATTAAAGTATACACAAAGTTAAATAACTTAAGAACTCATTCAAATTTAAAATTTAGATCTAGACACTTCCACAGTTTTAGAAATCATCTGACTAACAGATAACAGGAAAATAGCTATAAAACTGGATACTGATAATTGACAGAGTAAGGGGTATGCATAATATACCATGTTATTTTGACATAGATATTTAGTAAAAAACAAATATGACGTTATACGTAATGCTAAATACAATAATAATATAGGTAATTATAATATTTCTTATCTAAAATCAAAGTTGGTGCCCAGTGGTGGTGTGGCGCTGAACAATATAACATGATTAAAAAAATTGATCAGTAGTCTACAGTCACCACACCTTCCACAATCTCGAACCACCACCTTGATTAGTGTAAATTAATTTAACATTATACGGGTATATACGGGTAGGAGGCATAAAAAATATTAAGTACCTTATTAGAAGCCTAAAAGACTACTAAAAGAAGCGGTAAGTGCCATTCATAAGATTATCACCTCAGATAAAAGTCATATACACCAACAAACTTGGTGTTTACATCATTATTTTTAAGATATAACGTACATACATTTTAACAAAACGACACATTTATTTACTCTTTTACCTAAATGTATATTTTCACCTGAAATTACAATATCAATTACAATATTATGAATTACACTTATTGATATGTATGACAAATCTTGCTTATTAATTAAATGTCACATTGATTTTAAAGTTTTATGGGAGAATTTAGTGAGATAGAATTTACCTACAAGAAAAAGAAACAAAAAAATATGAAAATCTTATTTTTGCTCTCTGGAAGTGGCAAGTGTCGTTAATGCCAAATAACCTTAGTCATCATTTGTGTTTTGCAGATAAAATATATTATACAAGGATATTGTATTTAATTTAAAAACAAATTAAAATGCAGTGGAATTATTTATTAGGTATGCAGAATGTTAGTACAATAATTAGGTCTTTATAGTTATACTGAACAAATATATTAAATAAAATATGTTGGTGAGTACTTGTTCTATTTCTTTATTTATTAATAGTATAAACAGCTATTGACAATCACTGAAATGAAATATTTCTTCCTATTAACTCGTTAAATGATGCTACCTTCTTCAAAGTAACTTAAATCAACTTGTGCCATAGATCAAAACTTTAGATTTATCTTTTAATAAGTATCATTATATGAAAATTACCTTTATCAGAAACCTATTGATAATTACATAATTCATTCTTCATATATATTGTTTTAGTTTATAATTATATTTCTTAATGGTAATGATTATGATTTAGGTATCACTCTAATTCTTACAATATTTATATGTCAAAAGTGCATGCTGTAAGACTCTTAAAACTCTAGGTTGGTTTTATTAAGCAAGTTCCAAGTAACTGTAAGCATACAACACATTTGAAGGATTTATACCATTTATACTGCTCATTTATCAAGTTTATATTAGAGTATGTTCAATTTGCAAGAGCACCAATGATTTCCAGTCAGCTATACTTTGTCTCAAAAGAGAACAATCACTGTATGCACATCATGAATGATGCAATTGGAGCATCAAGAACCAAGTGATCATGCTAACATCAGGTCGTTTGTAGGAGATGAGCAGCACTAACAAAAATCGACTGGCTGACTTATTATTATCTTTTGAGGTAGAGTATAGAAAGATTCCTAAAAAATATTTCTTTAAACTTTTCTACTTACTTAAGTATATTAGGTAACCTCCTAGTTTAGTAAATGTAAGCTTGGATTATTTAGTTGACAGTAGACATGCAATTAACTTATCTTTTATTAATAATTTAATAAATGATAAAACAGTTTCCTGTATTAAAGGTTAAATGTATTTGTTATCAAAAATAAAATAGGTACTCATAATTAATTAACCAAGTGTACAGTTAACATGTGTATTTTAATTAGTTCCTTTATTCAATGTACACAGTATGTATGTAGTTTATTATTAATTGTCATCTGTAAGGAAAGACAATATGATGCTAAGTACATATTAATGATTTTTATTGAAAATAAATATCGTAGGTTATATAAAATATCTCATCATTATTAAAAAACTGGACATACAAGAAAAATGTATTCTAGTTTGCATAACAATAAATTAACATTTAATATTTTTAATTGAATGAAAAATTAAATTTAAAGTCTTGATTGGTGTTTAAGTAGGTAATATAAAATATATATCACTCTCTTATTATTTGATTTGTTCTTCTACCAGAGGTTAATCTATTCGCTTCATAATACGCAATTCTCCAATCCACAATTGGTTGTTGTGTTATATCAGCTGATAGTTTTGTCTTTTTATACTTTTCAACTGTTAATGTTTTCCATAAAAACTGATTGTTTATAACTGAAAGGTACATTTTTTTACAGCATCTCATCAGTGTATACAAATCAGAGGTGTTTAGTTTTGCAACAATATATGAAATCAATTCCTCGGGTATTCCACACAAACCAGGATATTGACCAACAGTGATTTCCAATATGGCACATTTGATTGGAACACTAACCAAATTTTTATATTTTAAAGATAAATGAGCTACATGTTCTGTACTTATACTAGAAATGCTTCTGTCGATTTCAAAACTAGTGCATTTTGATATATTTGAATAACTTAATGTTATAATTAATGAATCATCATTAGGAACACCTATTAAATGGCATAACTGATTAGACATAACTAGCTCAGCATTAAAAATGTTATGATTTTTTTGCCAAAATGAATTTAGTGGCAGACTGTTCACCATTTTAGCTAATTCAATATTTGAATTGGTTGAGTCAAAATGTTCGGCTAAAGAACTTGGAATAAAGCCAGTTTCAACAGTGAATACAAAACCAATGTTGAATAGTCGCTCGTGTCCTAGACTGGTAAGTGCATTTGACAGAAGTGATGAAAACTCAGATGTAAGTGAATTCATTTCTAAAGTACATAATACAAATAATAGGTATATAATAAAAATAAATAATAACACAGAGATGGTTATATTAAATTTGAATTCAATGATAAATCATTGCAAAAACTATTCTGTTCGGATACGGTCTACATTACTAAGTAGGTATATTGTATGACATACTTATTTTGATGTTAAAGTAATTTATTTTAATATCTATAATATGAGAGTAATATGGTAGGTTGAATTACTTTTTGCAAAAAACATTGCTAGGTATTACTAATTTTATAAACATTTGAGTATAACCTATAATAATTGAATATATTTATATAATACATTATTGTTATTAACTCTTGAGTCATAACTGATCCTGGTACTGATTTACCGTACAACAGTTTGAATAGGTTATCGGTATAAATAGGCGATAACATACATTTTTTAAAAGTCATCAAGTATATTAAATATATAATAGATTGAGCTCTGGCTTTTTGGTATTTTATAAGTATCTAATTTCCAGGATAAATTCAAATTTGAACTTAAAATGTCCACAGTACAAAATGCTGTTTATAAATTTTTATTAGTTTTTTTGTTCACATTATTAACAACTTATGAGGAAATTGTTATACAGTTTTCAAGGTTTAGCTATACAAATTGAAAAGCAATTAAATATATTTATAAACTACCAAATAATTTGTGAATTTGAACTTGAAATGCTTTGAAAAAAAAAAAAATATAGTTTTAATACTTTTAGATACTAGAGTAAAATAACAACTTAAGCGAAACTTTGTACTACATTTTCAAGCTATTGAGCAGATTGAAACATTTTTTATCAGTAATTATAGAAAAAAATGGTAAATGTCAAAATATATCTAAGAGCTAATAACAATTTTTGATCATATTACAAATTACTTAAATTAGTAATGCCTGACATTTCTAAATCATCACAAATATTTAATCTAGTACCTACCTACCCATTTATTGTATAATATTTTACTCACCTTATGTGTTAATGTGTTTTGATATTATTGATAATATTATTATGTTTCACTTGAAAACTTAATGTATTTTATTAATATTTTAAAATAAAACGATAATTTATTTTCAAAGAAGAGTAGGTGCCTATGATAAAATGAACGGTTTATTATAATTATCGTTAGAATGATCTAACTTCTGTAATAACTAATATCGGAATACCCGATCGTCCGGAACCGACAACACATGAAATAAAAAGTTACTTAATAGTTATAATAGTTAATATTGTTCACTTAACTATGTCCAGCTTAATCATAGAACACTAACACAGAACTATTTATTACAACATTGAATATTCGAACATGGAAAATTTCCAAAAGTTAAGTTTTCAGATATTTAAATAATAAATATCTAATGAGTGATGACTGATAGACGATAGTTGATACTCTGATAGTCTGTGATGAATCATGATGATCACGAACATATAATAGTGTGATAATAGATGATGATTATATGAATTTGTTGATAAGATAATAAACTAGATTACTAACTAGTGATATGGATGATGTGTAGTTATTACCCGCCATTTTGAGTGAGAGCGCTGAAATCCCACCAAAATTTGAATTCTTGTTTTAAATATTTGAAATTAATGAATGTTTTGTATTTACAATGTTTATTTTTTCTGTCATCAACATGACAAATGCTCAGATTTTCGATATCAGAGTCTTTTCTACTAGAAAAATGAATGCAATTAATGCATTCGGGAGGTGAACATTCAAAATTCTTAGTAGTTTTAGAAAGCGTCACGAAAAATAAAAATAAAGTAAAAAATATGGTAACTTTTACATAAAACCAATTTTATTTTTTTTTTGGAGTAACTTAATAACTATCCTAACCTAACCGAACCGTAGACACTTATATTTCCACCAAATATTTATAGTAACATTTTCGACATATTATTTCTTTTATAGTTTTAATAACAATTTTTAAAATTATATTCTATAAAAACTTTTTCACTTGGTAAAAAAGCTTGAAATTTTAATGCAAGGTCCCTCATAAGTTTCTTTAATGGGAGTTCAAAAGTATTAAAGATACATTGGCGCTATTAATTTTTTATATGCACTTAATGTTTAAATTTTGACAAAATTCATCAAAATCTCGAAAACTTTCTAACTATTTTTGAGTTGAAAATTCATAAAAGTTTTTGTTCGATCTTTCTGACATTTAAAATTATAACCACTCTACTACCAATCATCGGGCGGTGGCCGCAACTGGTCATCCGTTCGGACGCCATGTTTGTCGTTCTGACTTTCTATGCGCTATACCGCCGTCGCTGTCTAGGACGGACCCCGATAAATCTTAGACACGTTCGTATAAGACCTGTCTACCGATCTACGCTACTAAATTATATTATAACTGCTAGTGTTTAAGATGCTCATATCCGTGTGTTTGTGCTCACGCTCGGCGACGTGTCGACATATTCGTTGTTTTTGTTGTTGTTCATTTAAACATTACATTTTAAGCTTTTACATTTTAAGCATTTATTATTTTACTATCTACATCTGTGAGATATTGTGCTATTATAATTATGACACGATAAGATACAAATTAGTAATTACCTACTAGTTATGGTGAATTTGAGTCTCCAAAACTTTATAATATGGTGAGTATACTGAACCCATAGCAATCTAGTTTATTATCTATATCGGCTATATCTGTGGTATAACCACAACATTTTTTTTCCAAAAATCCTCGTAATCTTTGAAGATTTTTGTTTCAAGAACATTGTCACCAACATAGTTAGGTGATTAATGAAAGTAATGTTTCTGATATCATAATTATTAATGTTTAAAAATGTTTTTTGTAGTCCAACATAGGTATTTAGTAAATTATATTGGTACCTAACCCTAACAATTAATCAAAATAACTATGCAATTCGGATACCTATAACTTCTTTATAAGTTATTATTTACCGGTGTTGTACGATTGAGAACGTTTTACCTTTTTAGCAACACGATTGACAACGATGTCGGCAGATCAAAGACACAATATTTTGTACCTTAAAATCAAACGATTGAGAACGATATTTCTAGCGACATTGCCATTTATCTTAACTTTTAGTAATAATTTTTAGGGCTGGGATTTTGATGCAAAGGCATCTTTTTTGGTGTTTTGAAACGTTTAAATTGTGTATATGTTACGGGTAATGTGACATTCGGATAATGTCGACATTATCCATTCGTGTTGGCTAATGTGTAATTTTTCGTTTATAAACTGGAAATATCAACATTATCCGGATAATGTTAACCTTAGCCAGTCAATTTTGGATAATGTTAAAAGTTATGTACTAAATAGGCTATATAGAGGTTTTTTTAGCATTCTATGGTGGTGAGCAACTTTTTTGGTGTCAAGGACCAAAAAATAAAAAATAAAATTCACGGGCCTATATATCACACTTCATTATATTATTACAATCTAAATTTTAAAAGTTATATCAAATTTAATTTATTTAAGTTTCATCACTGCTTGGTATAATTTAACGTGGTATATATTAACACAGTTTTAATAATAACACATAATAATAATAAAAAAAATTAAAAATATGAAAATAAAAAATAAATTGATATGATTTTTAAATTTAGATAAATTGTAATCGCAGGCTTAAAATCGCAACACATGCCGCGGGTTGCTGACCCCAGCTAATAATATCTTATCTTAACTTATAACTGAGTTAGTCAGTTATATATCTTACCGATAAAATAAACAATATATATGAACTTAATATTTATCTTATTTCATCTTTATACCTATGCGACGTCACGCTTCGATCTGTTGTTAGTCTGTTTCAGTTTTCACGTGTGACAGTTTCCAGTACAGTGTTAAGTGTTTTAAATTTAATTTTAAATAAAATGGAAACAAAAATGGAATTTTATAATTTATTTGAGAAATAATTGTCTGAAAAAAAGAGAAGATAATTCATCTTATTTATCAGATGAAAAATATTTAAATATAATTAATGAATTGAAAGGCAACCATAAATCTCGTCGTTTAAATAAAAAATTTTAAAATATAAAATAAAATTTAATATTGTATTATTAGTATAAACTCATTTAAATTATACTCGTATTATGTATTTTATGGTAATTAGTAATTATTGTATCTTTTTTTTTGCATATGGTTGATTGTATCTAAAATATATTTAATATTGCTAATAATTTAAAATGATTTCATATCATGCATGATGCAATTTTATAGTTGTTAAGACATTATCCATAAGTCCTTGGCTAATGTCATATTAACCGGTTAATGTTAACATTAGCCAGCATTTAATAATATTCATGGCAGGTAATGATAACAGTTGGCTAATGTTGACATTAGCCGGATAATGTCGACATTATCCAAATGTTAACATTACCCGTGACATATATACTGGCAAATAAATATTGATTTTTTAATTTTTAATCTTAAGCTGACAAATATGTTGTATATAAATATAATTTTTTTTACTTTTAATCATAAAAAAATACCTTAAAATAAGTGATGAATGTATTGATTTTACAATGATAATATGTGGGTGTGTGTTTTTTTTTATCAAATTTAAAATTTAAATATGATTTTTTTGTTAACAATTTATTAAATGTTTAACTTTAATAGCTAAGGATTGAAAATTTAAAACAAAATTCCATGTAAGTTTATTTTGTAACCAAAATATAGCGATTGATATCTTATATATATTGTATATTGTATTTTTATTATTTTTATTTTTAATTAATGTGGCAACGTTGCATAAAAGTTAGCAGGTAAAAGCGTTCTCAATTGTGCTATTAAAAAAGGTACGGCCGATAAGGACCGTTCTCAATCGTGTTCTACTCTTATTTACTCAATGGCTAATGAGTAATGACAATACCTTACCTACTGTATTAAATATGTTTTTTACTATTTAAACTGTACGTGAATCGTGAATAGGTAAACTTGCATAAAACCATTTTTTATTTTAGTTAAGATGCAAGCTGTAAGGGAGTATATGAAATTGTTTATGCAATCATGTGTTATAAAATTAAAATAAACTGGAGAAATACGTAACACGGCACCTACTTGATATGTTTCCTATGTAAGTTTCCTTGATGTATGAATAAAATATGTTTGGGAAAAATAATGAACGAGAAATAATGTTCCTTGCAGAGGAGAAATATGAAGTAGCCACACCTTATTGTGTTATGAAATAACATAATGTTATTAATCACAAAAATAAGGTCGAAATATACAATTTTTATTGAATTCATTAATTTTATTATTAAAACTGTATTATAATATTTACATCAGTTGTACATTTAAATTCAAAAGTTATTAATTTTTAAGAAACAAGACTATAAATTACAAAACAATTGTATTCGCCTATAAGAACGAAGAAATTAACAAACTTAATATTATAGTTACTAATGCTTACCCATTGCTTGTATGATAGTATTATATAATGTGTGTAATTAGGCATAGTATATTAATATAATTGCAGAATATTTTAATAGATTAATGTAATTAACTTATTTTTTAGAGATAATTACGTACGTATTAAGTCCCAGATGTCCTAGAAAATCCGAGAAGTTGATTATAGAATGACCAAATAATTATTTGTCCTCATTTCGCTTGCAAATACAGTAATCAAATGAGGTCCGATTTTGAACCAACAAAAAGTCTTGTCCGTGTCTATTAATTAAAACATAAATTTCAATTCAGTGCCATATCCCTCTCACCCCCTCCCAATTGGCTGTATCAAAACATTGAAAAAATATAAAAATAAATTATTATTGTTAATTGTTGAGTATTTTTTTAAAAAATATTTTGGCTTTACCCTAAAACAATCCCCTGTACAACAAATTGGACTATTCAATGCAATATCAACCTATTGAATAATCCCACTAAAAGGAGAATTGTGATAAATAAGAATAAACTAATTTCCATCCCAAATAGTTTAAATTGATATCCAATTTTCGTACTAGACTCAAAATTATTTATAAGACGCACCTACCCAGTAAATAATAATACACGTGTGGTCTATTTAAATGTATTGTCTTCATAAACAGATTAAATATATTTTAAATAATACAATAATACATTAGGTATATTGATATAATTTTTAGATGAAAATACATCAACGCAGTTTCAAATTTTTTATAATTATAATTTATAAGATGATGTGTCATTGCTTTCAAACTTAAGATAACATACATGTAACCTACTACATGTGCCCCCAATGGTCCACCACATTCCTGTATAGGCGTATAACAGCACTTTGTTTTAATTTATATTTACCTTTTTACAATGTTTTTTTTTGTTATTATTTGTCTGTATTTTTGCTATTATTTTTGTTTCTTAAACAATGGTATAAGATACAAAGGGTTTTTTGAACCCTAACATAAATCTCACAATGCTCTGAAAGAGTAAATTTTAAAAACTTGACGGAGAAATAAGAATTG